AAGAATTTCATGAAATAGCATATGAGTAAGAGCTCATCGTGATGAAGGAAGAAGTTCAAGCTACTTTGAAGGAAATAGCAAAAAATAAGGCCCCAGGAATAGATGTTATACCAATTGATGTATTTCAGCTAACAGATGCTGTCCTGGATGTGCTCACCAACTTGTACCAAGAAATCTGGAGAACAACTACTTGACCAACTGACTGCATGAGATCTATATTTGTTCCCATCCCAAAGAAGAGGGATCAAATAGAGTGTGGAAACTATAGAACAATCTCATTGATTTCACATGCAAGCAAGATTCTATTGAAGATTATCCAAAAACTACTGGAACAGCACATCAGCAGAGAACTGCCAGAAGTCCAGGCTGGGATTAGCAGGGATCGTGGAACTAGGGATATTGTAGCTGATGTTAGATGGATCTTAGCTGAAAACAGGGAATACCAGAGGAATGTCTATCTGTGTTTCATTGATTATGCAAAGGCGTTTGCCTGTGTGGATCATAACAAACAGTGGCTGATTCGGAGAAGAATGGGAATCCCGGAACACTTGATTGTGCTAATGCAAAACTTGTACTTGGACCAAGAGGCAGTTGTCAGAACAGAGCAGGGAAACACTGCATGATTCAAAATTGGGAAGGATGTATTCCAGGGATGTGTTCTATCTCCATAGCTTTTCAACCTGTATGCAGAGCAGATTATTCAGGAGGCTGGGCTCCATGAGGAGAAGTGTGGCATCAGGATTGGTGAAAGATCTATCAACAATCTGTGTTATGCAGATGACACAACCCTGCTTGCTGCAACTGAGGAAGACCTGAAGCACTTGCTGCAGAGGGTCAAGGACTGCAGACTTCAATATGGATGGAGGCTCAGTATCAAGAAGACAAAGATTCTCACCACTGGACCAATTGGCAGCATCAGGATGGATGGTGAAGAGATTGAGATTGTTAACAACTTTAGTATGCTTGGCTCCACAGTCAACTCTCTTGGCACCAGCAGCCAGGAAATTAAAAGACGTATTGCGATGGGAAAGTCTGCTCTTAGGGACCTCTCCAAAGTATTGAAGAGTAATGG